GAAGAGAGTGACCTCTGGCGGAAGTCCATGGACGAGGAGATGCGTTCTATGTTGGAGAACGGGACGTGGGAGATCGTCGAAAAACCGGAAGGGGTCAAGCCGGTTCCATGAAGTGGGTTTACAAGATCAAGCGGGACGCTTACGGGAATGTGGAACGGTACAAGTCCCGGCTGCTGGCGATGGGCTACCTGCACAAGCGGGGGAATCACTTCGACAAGGCCTACACCTTGGTGAGGAAGCACACAACGTTGCGTGCGCTGTTGGCGGTGGTCGCGGAGCGAGCGCGACTTTAATCTGCATCAGCTGGATGTCAAGACGGCGTTCTTCAACGGAGAGCTAGAGGAGAAGATCTACATGCTTGAACAGCCGCAAGGATACGAGCAAAGTGGGCTAGAGATGGTCTGCCGCCTCAAGCGCACCTTGTACAGGTTGCGTCAGGCGCCGCATGCGTGGCACATGCGTCCGAGAGAAGAGCTCGAGAGAATTGAGTTCGTGGCGTCCATGGTGGACGCGGCGCTTTGCACGGGGATTGTGCCCGGGGAGCGGGTCTACCTCGTGGTGTGGGTGAACATCCTCGTGGCGGCCCGTGGTGCAGAGCAAATTGCAAAGCTGAAGGTGCATTTGGCGGAAAGGTTCGACGTGCGCGATTTGGGGGAGGCGAAATACTTTTTCGGGATGGAGCTAACGCGCGATATGGAGGCGTGCACCCGGACGCAGAAGAAACTGACGGGGAAGCTGGTCGGACATTATGAACAGGCGGACGCACGGGCGCGTAGCGTTCCTTTTGGAACGGATGACAAGTTAACGAAGGAGGGCGAGCCCCTCGACACGAAGCGGTTCTCATACAACGAGTGGGTGGGAAATTTGTTGAACCTGAGTGTGTGCATGATGCCCGACATCGCACAGGCGGTGGGCGCACTTGCGCGCTATATGGCAGGGCTGACAGAGGCGTCCTGGCGGGCGACGCTTGGAGTTGTGCGCTACCGGGCGGCAACAGCAAAGGACGGGGTGACCTTCGGTGAGTGAGGAGACTTTCGTCGGTTACTGTGACGCAAATTACGCGGGAGACGTGGAAACGAGGCGTGTTGGAATTCGGGCGTTATCATTGAGTGAGAATGTCTTAATATCCTATGCAAGTCGTAGCCGACGATTGAGTCTTTGGTCGGCCAGATATCGACCGTAGGATGACAAATTATTTGGTGTCTTATTCACGCAATATTGACAGTCCGATCGTGAGTCGGGTCCAGTGATTCAGGAGCCCCGACCACTAGTGTGTAGTAGCTCCGACCTCGTAGTACGGTACTACCGACCACCTCGGTATAGTACTACCGACCACAGGTCCGAGTGGTATTTAGCCCACATAGCGAGTCGATAGTGACTAGAGTGAGTCGTATAGTGACACGGTCACTTGTATAGAACTTCATATATAGTTGAACCGACTAGTGCCCGGTAGAAGTGGACTAGAAAAGTAAGGCTAGGGTACAGCTATCTACGGATTCAATTGGATGCCTTGGACATTGCCATATAATAGATGTTCATTCCTAGTAGTTGTGAACTTGAAAGGCGCTTGCTTTCAACAGGTTATGGGCCCACGACGCTAGGGAGTGAGGGATAAGCAGTAACCCATGTTTTAAGTACGGACCGTGACGACGTTGCCGACGTCACAAGTCCCGTACTTAAACCAAGCGCGCTACCAACCGGACTATATACTCGAGTACGGGACTTGTGACGTCGAGTATAGTCCGGTTGGTAGCGCGCTTGGTTTAAGTAGGGGACTTGTGACGTTGGCGTGACGTCGTCACGGTCCGTACTTACAACACCATGCTCACCGACTTCAACTCAGGGAAGGGGAGCCGCGTTTGCTTCCCCATGATGCACGGCTCACACACTGAGGTTTTGAGCGCCCTGAACGCCCCTGGTTTTAAATGCCGACACCCTCAACGAGATTGGCTTGCACCATCTTTGCAAAGTTCTCATACCCGGCGTGCCCCATCCGTCGATGCCATAGCTCGGCCGTTTCCGGATTTCTCATAAGAAAGCACGCGTCCTCTCCCGGTGCTGCACCTTCCCGCTCCATTTCCGAAAGTGGCCCCTTGTGAGCCACTTTTGGAGATGTTGCGTTCTTCGCTCAGTCGACCACGTAGATTTTCTTCACTTTCTGAGCTACAAGGACTCCCCGTCAGCCCGGCCTCAAGCTCACAATTGCCAATCTCATTGAACAACACTCACCGAGATCAGGTTCGCCGCAATCCTTGGGACGTACATCACGTTTTGCAGATTGACATTACACTCTCCGATCGGTATCGCGCACCGCATGTCAACCAATCCGCACCCCTCAGTTCCCTTGTCCCCGATCGTGAACTCTCGGCCCCTTCGCCCGAACATCTCGAAGGTCTCAAATAGGCTCTTGTCCCCAGTTAGGTGCTGGGAGCTACCTGAATCGACGAGCCACTCGTCGGCAACTACTTCTTCAACCACGCTTAAAGCCACTCCCTTGCAAGGATTCCCTCCCTTCTTTTGCTCCGGCTTGTGCTCCCGCCTATCCGGCTTGCTGCACTTTCGGGCAATGTGACCAAACTCACCGCAATTGAAACACTTTTGGCAAGAGTGCCCCGGCTCTCATTTTTGCTGTGGCTCTTCTCGTTGCTTCCTTTCCGCTGAACTACATAAGCCACAGTGGAGTCCGACCCACCACCGCCGTCATCCTTGGGCAGCTTACTCCCCCTGCTCATGCATCAAGAGCTTTGGCAAAAGAGCATCCACCGAGCTCAAGGCGCCCTCCGAAGCCTCTAGGATTGTCCTCAGGGTGCTAAACGAGCTCGGCAACCCCGCAAGCAAGCTCCAAGCCAGCTCCTCCGGCTTCAGCTCGGAACCGGTAGCTGTCAAGTCCCTACACAAATTCGTTGCTCTGCTGACGTACATGTCACGGGCTCACCCGACTTCATCTTGAGGGAATGCAACTTCTGCCTGAGCTGCATCTTCCTTGTATTGGACTTGCTTTGTAGGTCGTCTCAAGGAGATCCCAAGCCTTCTTTGCGGTTTTGCACGTCTCAATCGACCCCAAATGGTGGTCCTCAACGTTCAGCCCTATGATGGACAACGCTTTCGTTGATTGACTAGCGTGAGTTTCTGGATCCTTCACTCTGTTCCATAGATCCTTGGATGTCAACAAGAACTTGATCTTGCGACTCCAATTGATGTAGTTGTCTACACCAAGCTTGTCTATGTGAAATTTAAAGCCGTCGGCCATCTTAGGGTTTGCTTACCCTTTCTCTCTTGCTAAGGACCAAAGGTGGAAAATTTCCTTTTAGGCTTTCGAAACCACTTGATCCTCCTTACGGGACTTTTAAGTGTCACTTGGCTCAAAGAGCACCCGTGATAAAGCAAACCGCCCCCACCGATGCCTTCATTGACATGAGAGAACCATAGGCTGATTTGCACCGCGTTTTGCCGCTTCTCCTCAGGAAGGAACGTGGTTTCTTATTTTGCGGATTTCACGTGTCGCCTACTCAACGGCTACCCGTGAAAAAGACCGCTTCTTTACCATCGTCCGTCGTGGCTGATTCCTCCCTAGCGCCCTAGGCTCATAACCTGTTAAAACACAGCGTTGTTGGAAGTGATATTCAATCAATCGGTTTCAAACAAAGTATATATGGAGCGTTCCGAGTCACGGCCTATCTCTAGATCTACACTATCTAAGCTCATAGGCTCAGTGGACTGTCGCCTCGTAATTCCGAAAATTCCACTCTACACCGTACATCGACGGCTATTATTGGACCTACACCATATCGACGGTTATTGCCAAGTCATTCGGATGTAACGCTGTAACCCGCACGCATTCAACCGTGTAACCGTAACTATAATTACCGTCGAATTACCGTCGACGTCGTGATCCTAAAACCCTAGAATCACCAAGAGATTCGGTCCATAAATGCTCGTATCTCAACAGTTGCCGCCTACTTTCCTTCGCGAGAAGGCAAAGCCAATATCGGCCGAACGGCGAACATGGCGACCCAGCTTTCATCGGTGCCGGTGTTGTTTTTTCGGCTCCCTTACGTTTTCACCGCTGATCACAACGGAGAGGCGCTAGTCGGACAGCGCTTCCCTTGGGCTGCCGGATCGTTCGCGCTTCCAGTCGATGGTGTAAAATACAATCCGACCGTTTTACAAGTGACGGAAAGGGTCTGTGCCAATGGTTCACATCCTATGCTCGTACAGACCCAATAAGCAGCTAGAGGCGTATACGTCGATTTTATGGCAAACTAATACTACTTCGTATTCTTTAAGATTCAGGTTCGTTATAGGCAACGCTACGGGAGCTTCTACCACGATTCTATGTCTCGAAGACTGTCTATAAGACTACACTGGAGCCGTAAAAAACCCCTCCGAGGTCCCTTGGCATGTTTCTTGGGCCGGCCTTCAGTGGAGGAAAAAGCTACCCCAGTTTGCTTGAATGTAGAACGTGAATGGTCCCGTGCGTGCCTCCGTATCCTGCGAAATAGAATGCACCAATGCGCAAAGATCATATTTGTCGATTTGAGGGTCAGCTTTTACATACGCTTATAAAGCATAAACGAGGGTGGCCGTAGTGGTTGAGAACCAGTAACCGAAGACCGTTTTTCGATATAAAATGACCGATTTTGTTTAGAATCTTCCGCCAAGCGCGTGGACACAGAACAAGGTAAATTTGTGCATTTGGATACGCGAAACTACTCTGCATAACGGGCCCACATGGTGGTCGCACAGGTGGTCGGGAGAGGGCGCTCGGGAAAGACCGCTAGAAAACTCTACTTAGCAATTTAGGTCTAGGTTTTAGGAGCAATATGTGGCATGGTGAGTTTGACGCGCGTCATTTCACTACACGTGTGGAACCCTTCTTATCCCTTTTCGCCCGTGTGCCGATCGTCCATCGTTGGTAAGTTCTTAGTACTTTGGATGTCCTAACTTGACCGTTTATAGGTCATAATACCTGGGCCCTTTAACGTTGTGATAGTTGTGAGTTATGGATGGCGAACGTCCAGAATTCGAATCCGACCATAAACGATACTTTTCTCTTTTTTGCACTTTACGGACTTCCTTCGGTAGTTTGAGCCAAGCTCCCCCCAAGCTCCAAGTGCTTCCGTTCCTGCTTTTACCATAGTACATGCTACTTGAGCGTGGTAACTTTCTTACGGAGCTAGTTAAGTTTCGAATCTTGCAGTGCTGCAAGAATTCAAGAAGGAAAGGGGACCCAAAAGGGGGCACCGCTTCGTCTGCTTCGTCACTAATTAGCTTCAGCCGCTGCCGTCGGGCCTGCTTGTGACCCGTTTTCGAGGCGGCCGAAAAGATAGTAGTGTTAGTAAGTCTGATATGTCTTATTTGTACTTGAGAAATCCCACCGTTCTCTCAAGAGTCATGGTCGGATCGTATAATAACTCCATGGTGACCATGGTTTCGTCATTTTATTGTGATAATCTTATTGTGGTCGATTTCTCGATTTGAAGTAGGTATCATCCAATGATGGTCTCTTTTCGTTCTCGCCGTAGCCAAATAGGCCATAGGCTTCTCATGGCATACATATGTGGTGTGTTTTTCGTTTGCTTCTTCTTCTAGTGCTAATGCATGTGTACCCCACCTACCAACGTTCGTAGTACACCAATGATGGTCTCTTTTCAATCGCGCTTCAGCCGATTGCGGGTGGCGGCCTACTTGCACCGACCGTGCATGTCTGCATTCCTGCCGGCCGGGTCACCGGGTCTACCGGCTCGTGAATGGACGGGGAGCAGAGTACCGACCGGTACCCTGGTGATGCACACCACGGTACGTATGTAGAACTACCGTAGGTAGCCTGGTACCGATAGTGGGTCCGCGGTCGCCGGTCGGGCGACGGGTGGCGCGGCGCCCACCCGGCGTCGAATAGCCGGGTACCTAGGTATACACTACCTAGTACCTACCTACCTACCTGTGCTAGTATACGACAAAATTTCGATAGGTCCGTGTCAGTACTTGTCTTGTTATCCACCAATCAAAGTGGTGGTGTAGTTCCACGGGTATCACGTGGAAACAGATATCCCAGAGTCTGGTACAACCACTGCCGGAAGATACTTCGCTGACAGTGACATCAGATCTTCTGGCAGAGGGTGCACTTGAAGTTCAGTACTGTGTGCAGTGTGCAGTGTGCATTGGCAATTGCCAATGACAACCAATTGGTGAACCGTGAGCCCCATGACAGCTACAGCCTCAGGTAGAGACTCTTCTATTATTCTTAGGTACTATGGTGCGACCTGTATGATTTAGGTACCTTGCTAGAAGTTGCGCCGCTAAATGGTACCTATGTTATGGCGGCTCATGCGCGCTCGTGTGATTTGTGATTCACGAAGCACGTATGCGAACCCCATGCGAGCTGGATTCTACAAACTTTAGTGCCAGCAGCAGCTCAGGCAGGCGAGCTCAAGTCAAGCGACCTGTCATCGCAACAAGCTTCAATTTGTTTTGTCAATCGCATCTTATCAGAATCTTTCTTCTTCCAGCGAGCCGCCAAGAAGATGTTGCTGATTGCCTGTGGGCGTATGCAGCAAGCTTGACGAACAGGCCCTGACATGGAACTCATGAGGGACGCTGTGCGCGAGCCGCCCATGGCGCGGGACTTTTTCAGGAATGCCTCCAGGGATGTTTCCCCCCAGTACCGCTGGGCAAGGTGAGTCTCCTGCTGGCTATCTTTGAGCAGGCAGACTCAACATCTCCAGAGACTGTGACAGCAGTGACTGGGCAAGGATTTGAATCCAGTGCTTCGATTGCTCCTTTTGTGTTGCCCTTGCTCTTGCGCACCTCCGCCGTGGCAGTGCTAGTGGGGAGCATTGTCCTGAGAGAGGGAACTGTGGTCATGGGAGCCCTGAACCGCTCTTGTGCTGCATCCTGCTGGCAGCCCCTCGATTGAGTTGGTTGGATGGTGGCAGAGATCGGTCCGTGGCCATCTTGGCACGTGGTCCTGCCAAACGCTGTGGGCTACAGTCTGGGTGCTGATCCTGCACTTGCCCCTAGATCTCTTGCCCTGTTGAGTAACTGAGTGAGCGCACGGTCGTTGTTTTCCCATTGGCCGCTGGCAGTGCCAGACCCTGGCACTCATTCGTGTTCTGCCGCCCTCTCAACGTAGATTGCCTTCCTATGTGATACAGAAGAAGCAGAAGAAGCACAAGCAGCGGAGACAGGGAGCCTGAGGCAAGCAGTTTCAGAGACTTCGCACAAAGGTAAGGAGCTAGCGGCCTTGCCTCTGGTCATCTTGGTCATAAGTTGCTTGTCTGATTCTGGCATGGTAAGCACCTGCCTGGAGATTGTTTAGGCATTACTTGGTCAATGAAGCTGCAGTAACGAGCTGAACCTGGTTGTTGCTTCGTTGTTGCACCAGCACTCACTCAGGGCTATGCAAGCTCTACGGTTTACCGCCATTGGTGCCTTTGAATCTCAAGGGATTGCCCGCAGGAGGCCAGTTCTGTTGAGTAGGGGCTGCAGTCGGCAAAGAGTGGCCTGCGGTATTCAACATATTCAATCTGATTCTGGACACCAAATCAAACATTGCATATTTGGATATTTCCCAGACTCTGCATTTTCTGAAATCTGACCTGTTCTGGCCCAGTTTGCTGCTTGACGCTGAAGTTGTCTCAGCCTGCATTTGCCAGTTTGCCCATTTTCTCCTTTCTTTACACCTTGCAAATGCTGTCTGCCACTTATCGGTCTCTCAGTGCCATGGACTGCTGTGAGGCGGTGGCAGTTGGTAGTAGGCCGCTCCTCCTTCTCTTTCACAACTTCCTCGATGACCGCCCTTTCCTTGGGTGCAGGCCCTCTCCGCCCGGCAGCCCTGCTCCCGCGCCCCAGGTGCTGAACCGCACCTCGTCCCGAAGCAAGCGCGTGGAGGCCGGTGCTGCTGCTCCCCTTGTGCCTGCCCCTGCCAGCCTGGACCGCGGCAGTGTCAAGTCTGGTCCTGGCAGGGCCGTGGGGGGCAAGCCGGACGGGGCTGCTTCCCCGCGCGGCCCGCTCGACTTCCCCGCCAGCCCTGTGTCGTCGCCAGGGTCGGTCAAGGACGCTGCCTCGCCCGCTGCCAGGCTCACCCCGGTGCGCTCACGCCGCTCGCCCTCTCCTCAGCAGGCCCTTCCTGGACAGGCGCCCTGGGTGCCGGCGGGCAGCCCGGTGGCAGCCGCGGGGGGCCCCCGTCCCAGCAGCAGCAGCAGGAGAGGGGGCATGGGCCAGGCAGGGGCCCAGGGCAGCAGCCCGCCGCTAGTGGGGCCCGCTGCGCCGGCGGCAAGGCAAGAAGCAGGCCAGGCACCTCCCAAAACATTGGTGGCACACGAAGCGACTGCGCGTAGCAGCCCAGCTCTCCGTGCTGGGGGGCAGGGGCCCAACAGAGTTGCGGGGAACACGGCAGAGGCAGCAGGTACGGCTAGCAGCCTGTGATACGGTCCCAGTCTGTCCTACTGTCGCTTCAGGCCTGGTGGAGGGCAGGCTGCTTTGAAGGGTAAAAGCAGGTTCAAACATTGGAACTTCAGACCACCATCCTCCTCCTGGACATTAAGTGTGGCCTTCGGCTCAGGCAAGCGCGAGGCCATCATTCTATGGGGTTATTAAGACCGCTGCTGAATGAAAGGGCACGCTGCGCTTCCTCTTTGGGCAGTGAGGTGCATCATGATTCTATGGCCCAATTCACGAGCGTGTGCAAGTGTGGGTCCTCCCTGTGCAGGTGAGAGGGCAGCCAAGCCGGAGGCCCGGGGGGCCGGCCGCAGCAGCACCCCCTTCCGCCGGGGCCTGAATGCGATCAAGGGGCGCTTCTTCTCGGGTGAGCGCCCGCGCCTGGCTGAGCCCTGTTTGGAGGCCACACCGTACCTTGCAGGCTGGTGACGACGTGGGCAGTCTTTTTTCGCGATGCTATGTGGCAGCCTGCCTGAGTGCCTTTCCTGTGTGCTCTGCAGACTCGCGCAAGGCCGCCTCAGTGGAGATCAGCAAGACGCAGCAGGACCTGCTGGCACAGCACAAGGTCAAGCCTGCGGCCAGCTCCGGAATCAAGGAGTCGCTGGTGAGTCGCACTGGTTGCTTGGACGGGTTGCACACAGCGCTCTTGCCTTGCCTGGACGGATGGTCAGGGCGCAGCTATTGTAAGAGGGGTTACCCCTGACTGCCTGTACCCCCCCTGCACAGAGCCTGTGCATGCCGTGAGCCCCCTCGGCCACGTGCCTCACGTTTGCTGCCCCCGCTTGCAGGTGCACCGCTTGACGCGTGCCCTCCAGCGGCCCGGCCAGCCTGCGCGCTCGCGCTTCCTGCCCGCCCCTCCTGCTGCCCCTCTGGAGCCGCCCGCCGCTCCCATGACTGCGGTGGCCTCCCCTCCGCGGGCTTCCATGCCTCGCCTGCTGGAGCCCCCCAAGGCACTCGCGGCGCGCACAGCCCCCAGTGAGGAGCCAGAGCAGCCCTGCGCGGAGGGACACAGGCTGGAGGAAGCGAGGGTAGGCACAGCAGGGACGATGGGAGGAGCAGGACAGGGGAGCGAAGTGGAGGGGCCGCATGGGAATAATGACCAGGAGGCGCGGGTGGGTGACAGATCTGTGGAGAGCGCCCCGTGTCCCGTGCGCAGCCTGGATGTGGTGGCAGAGGCTGGCGCGGAGGGAGGAGGTGGCGCGACGGAGGGGCTGCCGCCTGGCAGCCAGGCCGGGCCAGGGGATGTCCAGAGCAGCAGCCCGAAGGCGGAAATGAGCAGCGCCAATGACAGCAACACAGACTCCGACTCGGACTCGGAGCGTACTCGTGCGAGGTTAGAGTCCACCTTGCTCTACGGCTGACCGGATTTACAGTCGAGCTGGCCTCCCGTCTTGCTGCGTGGCAGGAACCATCTTAGGCTTCTCAATACGCTTTGGCCCAAAAATTCGGCCACTTCGTCGCACTATGCCCCCGGTCTTCTCCTGCGCCTTTGGTCCGGCTACCAGCCTGCTTCCTCCGTGCAGGTTTCTGCCCCGCACCCGGTCTGCTGGCGCCCCTGCCTCGCAAGCGCGCTACGCGTCGTGGGCGCAGCACATCCCGCCTGCTGTTTCCCCCGCTGCCTCCTGGGACTCGCAGAGCAGCACCGAGTTCGCCAACACGCGGCGGCCCTCCCTCGCGCAGCGCCTGGTCAACAGTGAGAGCAGCGGCAGCGAGCAGGGCAGCCCCCGCTATGCGCGCTCCCCGCTGGGGAGCCCCCCCGGCGCCGCCTTCGGAGGCAGGCCCGCCAGCCAGCCGCCCGTCACCGAGAAGTTCTCCCTTCCAGCAACGTGAGTCTGGTGGCGATGCTGTGCCACGCCTGTGCTTTCATGGCAGAGCCTCACGAGCTCTAGAGGCGCCTCGCTCCCTTGCCAGCCACCATTCCGTTAGCCGCCACACTGGTCCCATGCAGCCGTCCGTTGCTCTGTGCCTTCTCCATCGCGGCTGGTTGCCCCAGCTCCTTGTCGCTCAGCACACCCGTCTTGACAACTCGTTTTGTCGCTTGTGCTTCAGAGCTTGTCCCTCGGTGGTGTCACCTGAGGGACCCCTCCCTGCGGCGTCGCTCTCTTCCCCGCACCAGGCTCCGGCCTCGCCTGCCCCCCACGCGGCCGTGCGCAGGAGCCTGGACCCTCTCGGGTGGTCGTCCGACGAGGACGCGGAGGAGGATCGCGGTGCACGCAAGCGCGAGATGGCAGCCGCGCTGCGCCAGCTCAAGTCCTTCCAGTCCGGGGGAACGACGCCCCACCCCGCCCAGGCCCCGCTGCAGCGCTCCCTTACGGACCCTGCCGCGTTCCAGGTGGTGAAGCGCAGCGCCTCGCCCATGCGCACGCTCTGGCGCCAGGCCACCGCCGCCGCCACCAGCCTGGAGGGTGAGCGCCCACCCCTTCGCCCTCCTCACTTGACCCTGCGAGTGGAGGTTGTGCATGGTCCCTACCTCTTACCCTCCGTCCTGTAGCATTGTGTGTCCTTGCGTCACTACCCTGTTGCTGCCAGGCCCTAACGTGCCCCGTCCTTGCATGCCGCAGGCCCCGCCAGCAGCGCCAAACGGCTGGGCCTGTCTGCTGCGGGCCGTGCGTTGGGCCGCTCCCGCGACCCCAGCCCCTGCCCGCCCGGCCTGCTGGCCAGCCCGCGCCGCCTTCGTCCGGAAGCCTCCCCGCAGCGGGTGCCGCAAGGTTCGTCGTCGCTCTTCGAGGACGGCCCTCGCCGGCAGGAGAGCTGGGGCACAGGGCTGCGAGGTGCGGCAGGGGCAGCGGGGGCAGCAGGGCGGGCCTCCAAGACGCCCAGCCGCGGGCGGCCCATCGCGGCAGCGGCCGCCTTCTTCAGGTCCTTCACACCGGGGCGGCAGAGGGCCCAAGTGTTCTGAGGGGTCGGTGGATTCTCTGAATCAAATGTGTTGCGTTGTTGAAGCAGGGACTTTCTAGCAACGTCGCGTTGCAATACAAACTGCCCTGCACCTCCGGATCTTGCGACTCTTAGCACACCACCAGAGTTGGTGCATTCTCGTGCTGGACCGCGTGTGACACAGTCCGACAGGCCACCTACAGAGAGCCCAGCCAATCGCAACACTTTCAGAGCTCAGGAAGCAGACTGCAACATCGTGTTGCTCTCTGTCACGAGTGCTACAATGCAGTCCCTACAAGAGATTTGTCATTATGTAGCGAGTATAGACGCTAAACATTGCATGAGGGTCAGGAATTACATGGTCGCCGTTCAGACTCCTGCTGAGAAAGGCCGCGCCAAGCTTGCTAATAATCGAACTGCTGGAGAGACACCCAGACTTCGCAACCTAGTAAATTGTTTCAAGCAGCTAGGTTTCCAGAAGCCTATGCAAAGGGGTACTGGTGTAATAGCTTTTGGAGCCGTTGGGTATTGATATCGGCACCCATTGGAGCGGACTTAGCAGGCTGGACGTTTGGAGTCGTACTTCACACCAAGCATTCGTCACTAGTCACGAGCTTATATTTGGGAACTCGAACTATCGATGTCGGTAGGCAAAGATAGGTATGCGAACGTTGTGCCAATGTTAGCAGACTTTGTAGTATGGTCTTTGTAACAATGTCTGGGTCAATTGTAATCTTTCGTATCTAGCTTTTGGCTAGCTCATCGATGCTTGCTTGCATGGCGTGCATTGTACGTCGATTTGCATTAGTTGCTCATATATTTACATCCGCATGCAGTGAGCATTCAACAGCTGACATGCACCTTGAAAGAAGCTACCGAGCGGCGGACTATAGGCATAGCCCTAAAAGGTGATTGCCATACTGGTAGATATATTGCGCGTTCCACAGTGTGCGTGAGCTTTGAAAGATGTGTCAACAGCGTGTTCCAAGATAATTTGTGTACAGTGGGTCGTGCCATATAGATTAAGGAAAATTGGCAGCTCCGTTTATCAAGACATGGCTTTGAAATGACCTCGGACGTATTCAAGTACAGCAGCACGGTCTTAGCTGCTTATATCAACTGCACCCCAACCTTCAGCTTCTCGAGTCATAAGCTTGAGAGCTTACGGGTTTTCCAGCCCTTGCCCTTCGTCCGCTCAAGCAGTCATCTACCTCAAGTCGTCCTTCAACATTGGCAAACAGTTTGTAGTGCCCGTCATTCAAACACAGACGGGCGGCAAAGCAACCAACGGATGGCGAGCCCTTTTAAGTCGTGTCACCGCCTGGTCACACTGGCCAGGACGTCGAAGTAGTCCGGGAAGGTCTTGCGCGTGCACTTGGGGTCTCGGATGGTGACGCGCGCGTCCCCGCACGCTGCCAGCGAGAAGGCCATGGCCATGCGGTGGTCGTCGTATGTGTCGATGGCGGCAGGCACCACCGCGCCCGGCGCGTGCACGATGCAGAAGTCGAGGCCCTCCTCCACCGTGGCGCCCAGCTGCAGAGCCATCCAAGCAGGGGTGCCGCCGTCAGGACGGCTCGACAGCCATAGAGCACAGGGACACCAGAGAGCTCCCAGAGCTTGCAGTTCTCATGGTACTGCAGAGTGGAACATGAGCCACCTAAGGCTTGCTCTAAACAGGGCACCTCAGGCAATTTTTTTCTCGGCTAACCGGGGGAGGTCGGCTTACCTTGCGCAGCTCCGTGCAGATGGCGATCATGCGTTCTGTCTCCTTGACCCGCCAATTGGCCACTGCACACGCACGCGCCACGTCAGCCGTCTCGCCCTGTTCGCATGCGGTGAAACCCTTGGCAAGGAGTGGCACTCGAGCGGTGATTATCTTGACGCCCGCTCGTCCCAGGCATCCAGTGTGCCTAGCCGTAGCTGCGTGTCCGCATGGCGCGCTCACCGTTCCTGATGGCTACAGGCCCGTCGGCGAACAGGCCGAGCACGGCCAGCGTCATGGCTACGTCCGGCATTGCGTTCATGTCGATGTCAATCCCGCGCAGCCGCCGCCCCGTTGCGGGGTTCACCGGCGCCCCCGTCACAGTCACGCTGTGCGGCGTCATCTCCACGTGGGCGCCCATCTGCTCCAACACGCCCGCAAATCCGATGTCGCCCTGCGCAAAGCCACAGCCGCCCACCACGTCAGCAGCCACCAACGGCCGTCTCTCTCGATCAAGGCCCCGGTTTGTGGGTGCGCAGCAACAGACAGCATTTCCTGGTCATCGCTAGGGCCGCTCTCCTCACCTGGAGGCTGTCTGCCCCGCAGCCCTCCACGGTGACGGTTCCCCCCGTGGCTGCGGCCCCCGCCAGGAAGTAGGAGGCGCTGGACGCGTCCCCCTCCACATACACGGTGGCGGGCGACGTGTACTGCTGGCCGCCGCGCACCTGAAACCAGCGCCAGGCGGGGTCGCGCTCCACCTCCACCCCAAACCTGCATCACAACCCCCACGTCTTGCTGCTTTCTCATATCGCTCTGGGGCAGGCGAGATTCAAAACGAGAAGGCCTGTGCTTAAATGAATTTGCTTGGAGAAGGCAACCAAAGAAGGCAATTCAAGCGCGTCATAGTCCATCTCATGGTGCAGTGCCGAGTGTTGGTCTCTAGAGCGGGGTGCTTCACCTGCTCATGAGCTTGAGCGTCATGTCCACGTACGGCACTGACACCAGCTGGTCCACAATCTCAATGCGCGTGTCCCCCGCCGCCAACGGGGCCGCCATCAGCAGCGCCGTCAGGTACTGGCTGCTCACTGCACCGCTGAGGCCCACCTGCACCAATACGCCCTCCCCGTCATCAAACTCCAGACAATCTTTGATATCGCGCTTGTGTCACTAGCTCCACGCTCCTCAGCAGGTAAGACGGTCAGACATACCGTAGACACGTTTCCCCTGACCAAGGACCAGCCTTCCTTTCATTACAGGACACGACCTTCGAACTCTTGTGTCATTCCTATGGATCCGCAGTCTCACAGCCTGCCTCTCACGGCCTGCCTCTCACGCCCGTGCTCACCTTGCCTCCCGGGAGCCCCCCCTTGGCGTTCACCTCCACGGGCGGCCCGCTGGTCCCGAGCAGCATGTGCACGTCTGCGCCCAGCTGGCGCAGGCCGGCCACCAGGTCCAGGATGGGCCGCTCGCGCATGCGCCGCACGCCGTCCAGCACGTACCTGCAGAAACCACCCCACTCCGCCTCAGTCCGCAGGCAGGCCCCGCCCCGCGACCGCAACAAGACCCGCACCGGCAGTCAGCAGGCAGCAGTGGCAGGGGGGGCTTGGACTGCATCGAACGCGCACGCTCACCTCCTGTGCCCCCCGGCGACGGCCACAGCGGCAGTGAGCGGGCGCATGGCAGTCCCGGCGTTGCCCAGGAACAGCTCCACTGCCGGCGCAGCCTCGCCCTCCGCCGCAGTCTGGGAAAGATCAGGGCACACGGGCAGGGGTTTAGCAGTGGGGACGGAAAGGGGGACATCATGTAGGAAGTGATGGCACAGCATGCCCACCAGTCAAAGCAGACAGTTCCAGTGGCCCAACTGCAGTTGGGGTGTCCCTCATCTCGCCAATTGTCGCGCAGGCACCCGCTGCCCCTGCCGGCACACATCCTGGCATGCCAGTGCGGCTCACCTGTTTGGCCACCGGGAAGACCCCCCCGCAGCCGGTGACCTCCACGCGGTTCTCCTGGCGCGTCTCATGCAGTTCAATTCCCAGCGCGGTGAGCGCCCCCAGCATGTAGCGCACGTCGTCGCTGTCCAGCAAGTTCTCCACGCGCGTGCGACCCTGCAACACGCAATGCGCCCGCCTCAGGACACTGGCGCACGCGCGTTCGGTATGCCTGGCCCCCACAAAGCAGGCTCCGCCGGCAGGGGTCACACTGCTCATGTGGCTGCATGATGCGACATAGCAGCAGCAGCAGCCCCTCCCCTCCAACAACAGCCCCCAGGCTGGTAGCCAGCCAACATTCTGAGGAGGAAATGCTCTGGCTCTACGAATTGTGCAGAAGGGTGCCCAGGGCACGAAGGTGGTCACGTCAGAGCATTCCTGGCACCCCCAACAATCACCATGAGAATCCCCCTTTGAGTGCCTCCATTGTTGCTGCGGAGCGGCTGGCTGGTGCTCACCTGCGCGAGGGCGGCCATTAGGAGCAGGCGGTTGGACAGGGACTTGGAGCCGGGCAGCTTCACGGTGCCCTCAATGCTGCGGATGGGCTCAATCACCAGCTCCTCCTCGACTGCCACCGACGCCACCACCCCGTGCCCTCGCCTGCGCCATCGCTGCCGCTGACCCGCTGCATGAGTGACGCGTGGCAGAATGGTGCCGGAGAGAAAGGTGCTGCTGCTAGGGAGGGAGCACTGTGTGAACGCTGGCTGCGGCGTGCTGGCTGTGGCCCACCCCCCCGCAGCATTGCCTGCTGGCGGAGCGCAGGCACCATTACCAGTGCGCCGTTCAAAGGCAGCCTCGCGGCCTGCCCGCCCAAACAGGCCCAGGCTGGCGGCCTCCGCTTGGACCAAACAGGCAGCCAGGGCGGCCATGGCGGACACTCCTCTGGTGATGCAACGTCGTTCAACAGAGTGTTGAACACAGATCTCCACGGGTTTCTCAGACTCGAGAGTCATGTGCTTGGTTGTGAACCTTGTATGTTATTGTTTTCCTGTAAAGACATATCATTCCGACAAGAATCTGTATAGGCGATCGGATCATGTTGGTTTTGATTGACTTTAACCACGGCACGTTTCCTAGGCCTTGTTTCAGGTCAGTAGCTGGCCGCAAAAAATCTTCCCATGCTACATAATACAATAACAGGCTGGATCAAATCCGCAATTGCAAATAAGCCTTCATATCGTGATTGGAAAGCCCAAACAAAAGCCGCTTGCTGGGAAGGGATCACCCAACCACCTGGAAGGGATTCTACCTTTCATGTCTCGGTCTGATCATTTCCAACATTGTCTGGCGAGCCCCCCTTCCGCCTGCTGCCAGCATGAGTTCGCGCAGGCATGGTGGCGGCGCGTCCAGGCCTGCTGGCCCTCTCTGGCCGCTGCTGAGCAGGCGGCGGTTTTGGCGGGGTGCCCTGCTGGTGGCCTTGCTGGTACTGGCCTGCCTGCAGCGCCAGCACCTGGGAGCGGCCATCAGCGCAATTGCCAGGAGGGGGCTGATGCGCACCCAAGGTACTGTCGGGGTGGGCATATGCCAGTTGATTGCACTATCTTCACAGCATTCCAGCTTCTGCATTTTGATGCTGGCCGGAATGGATGCAGGGAGTGATGGCAGATGCCATGTCTCTTCAATTTAGCAATAGTAAGCCCTAGCAATAGTAAGCTCCGGCACTACCACTAAAAACCTAACCTACAAAACTACCCGCTCCGCACCCGAACCCACCCTAACCCCCAAACTAACCCTACCCGTCCCAGGCTGGTGAGCTTACTATTGCTAAAGCTTACTATTGCTAAATTGAAGATTCTTGCAGATGCCTGCTTTTGACTCTGACGTGCCATTCACCTGCGATGCATTGGTGGTGGTAGCATCGCCTGGCACCCTGCAAAGCAACGCTCCCGGCGGGGCATCGAAAGCCGCTACCCCACAGACCAGCACATCTGATGGGCAGCCTATTCTCCTGCCAGGACAGCAACCAGGAACGGAGGGGACCCGCAATGTCATGAACTTCGAGTTTCTGTGGATGGTGAGGACGAGATCTACCTGGCCGGCCCAAGCAACACCAGTTCAAACCCAGTTATCAGTACTGCACATCTGAGGCACGAGTCTCGGTAGCAGGAAGCAATTGTTGTGAGTTCTCATGGCTGCTCATAACATCTGTTCGAGTATCGCAGAAACTTGAGTTTTGCATACAACAGAGCATAGAGGTCGTACTCTTTGTCTTTGTATGCCTCTTCATCAGCCCCGCTTTCCTGTTGCACTGTGCCCACCCTGCCCCCTGCGCGCTTCTTGCAGGCTCCGTTCCTATCGGGCGGTGGCTATGGTGCGGAGGCCACGGCATTTGTGCTCCCCCTGGCGGGCACCCCGGAGCTGCGGGCGGTGCGCATCGCGCTGCATGGGGATAGTGTCAACTACGACTATGTACAGGGCATTCCCCCCGAGCAGATGCAGGTAAAGCAGCGCAGGGCGGAGTCCTGAGAGGCCTGACATGGGCTTCAACAAGCCTTCTTCGACTTGCCTCTGTAGTCTGGGTGAACGGCACCGATTGAGTGGTGTAGAGCTTTCCAAGTATTCTTCAAGGAAACTATGTTCAATGAAGTGAATTTGACCCAGGTTGCGCCTGCTCCAACTCGCATTCCCGACGTAGTCTGAAAAGTTTCGCTTTGTCCAGAATCTGACTATGCGGCATGAGCCTCTGATGCCGGCATCCTTCGACTTGCCTGGGCTCCCGGGGTGTATGCCGGGGCCCCTGCCCGCCGTTCTGCACCTGTGCATGCCCGCGCGTCCCCCGGACCCCCCGTCTCGTTTGTGCGTGTGGTGCAGGTGCTGCAGCGCCTGGCGGACCCCTCCCCCGCCGGCCTGCCCAGCGTGGTGGTGTGCCACAGCGAGCCGGGGGCGTGGGACCCTGCGCTGTTCCAGACCAGCCGCTGCCCCCCGCGCGGCTACCACGCAGCGCTGTACGTCATTGGGCGGACCATGTTTGAGACGGACCGCGTGACCGCGCACCACGTGCAGGCATGCGCCCTGCTTCACTCGGGAGACGAGATGACATGACGGATGTGCAGATGCTCGTGTGCAGAAGATTGTGACTTTGTGGAGAAAGGAACCAGCAATCGGAGATGCCGGCAAAAGGAAAGTACACAATATCCATTGATTGAAGTCGGGTCGTCTGTCCCTGATGTCGTGAGCTTGTACTTCTGCCAGGTGTCGGACAGAATATCTACTTTTGTTTCCCAGTATATCAGACATCGTCGTGCCTGCGTGTGCAGCGCATCAACCGCATGGACGAGGTGTGGGTGCCCACCGACTTCCACGTCACCACCTTTGCGGCCAGCGGCGTGGACCCTGCCAAGGTGCGCGCGCGCCACTGCCGGCACAACTCGCAAGCGCCGTCTTCGGTGCTGCCAGCGTGTCATCTAGCGAAATGGACAGGATAACGGGCAAGCTCGATCCTCGACTCTTCCATTGGAGATATGATCCGTAAGCCTGGCGCAAGTTTCCTTGCTGCAGCGAGCTTGTCCCGCAGCTTGCCTCGTGGTCCTCCCACCCTTCCCGCTTCCGGGGCTATCCTTACTCTGCCTCGTCCCCCGCCCCCCAGATTGTGAAGATGGTGGAGCCTGTGGACGTGGACTTCTTCAGCCCACAACACGCGGACGGCACGCCCCGCGCGGCCCTGCTGCTGCCCGTGGGCAAGCGCATCCTGGGCCCGCGCTACGAGGCGCTGGACCGGCCGTTCGTGTTTTTGAGCGTGTTCAAGTGGGAGGCGCGCAAGGCGTGGGACGTCCTGGTAGCTGCCTACCTCACCGAGTTTACTGCTGCTGACGCGTGCGTGCTGCTGCTGCTGACCAACCCGTACCACTCCGACCGCGACTTCGACTCCAAGGTGCGCCGGCCGGCAACGTCAAGGCTCGGGCGGAAACACGATGGGCCAGGGCGCTTGAAGGGGCGTCGTATCGGTTGTTCTTGGCCGAAACATTCGGCTCGAGACGCGTGCACGTTGCCTTACGCAGTGTTCGAGCCCACAAGGGAAGTTGTCTCGATTGTAGCTGGTACTTTTGTGTAGCTACAATCTATGAACATGCTGCGCCCGTCGTCCCAAGAAGGGTGGCCTCCTTTTGCGTCCGCTAATTGACGTCTCCCCGCCCTCCCCCCCCCTGGTGCCAGGTGACGTCTTTGGTGGCCCGGCTGGGCCTGACCCGCCCCGCCGCGGGTTGGGCCTCCGTATACCTGGGGGACCAGCACGTGCCCCAGACGGACCTCCCCGCGCTGTACCTGGCGGCGGACGCGTTTGTGCTGCCGTCGCGTGGGGAGGGCTGGGGCCGGCCGCACACGGAGGCCATGGCCATGCAAGTGCCCATTATCGCCACCAACTGGTCCGGGCCCACCGAGGTGAGCTGGGATGCATCACGGAAGGGGTCCTGGTCTGCTGGTCCGTGCTTCTGCTGGACAGTGCAGACATGGTAATCACTGAGTGCTTCGTATACCGGACTCCTTTTTCGCGGGCGGTGGATGTTTAGGCCTTGCTGTGAGTGCGAGTGAGAGTGGGGGTCTCCGCTGGGCTGAGATACCTCCTCTTCTCTTAGGAAAGTGTTCCAGAACGTGATTCCGCGTAATCTCCTCTTGCGGCTGTGGGTTTGTGGCCTCTGATCCTTGACCGCGTGCCTGGTGTGCAGTACTTGCGGGAGGGCAACAGCTACCCGCTGCCCATCAGCCGGCTGGTCCCCGTTGAGGGCGGCCCGTTCGACGGCCACCTGTGGGCGGAGCCGTCGGGGCAGGACCTGGCGCGCCTGATGCGCCACGTGTACACCCACCGCGAGGAGGCGCGGGCCAAGGGACGGCAGGCGCGGCGAGACATGCTGGCATATGCGCCACAGGCAGTGGCGGGGCAAGTGCTGGCGCGGCTACGGCAGATCGAGGCCAAGCTGATCAAGGCTGGCAGGCTGGGGGCCGGAAGGACACGCGCGAGCACGCTGAGTCAGGCTGCGGACTTGATCGACGATGGAGCAGGGGAAGATCTATAGATGATGCTACCGTCCATGGTCGAGAGCTAGGAGAAGCAAGGCTGCGAGCGCGCACTTTTCTTCCATGTGTTGGTCATAGTGCATTCTCTTTGACTAGGTTAGTATCGTTGCGGTAGCGGTTTGCAAACGTTTTAGAAAAGACAATGCTGTACTGCTGTTACGCTATACACAGTCAAACATTCTGATCGGCAACATGCACTGGCGACTTAGAAAAACAACAAGTCACACTGCGGCACGTGTTTGTAGGGCACCGTACATACTCAGGCTCACGAGAGAAGTAAGTTTACCTTCTAACGGCTCTTACAAACCACACGGAGCTCCCTGGAAGTCTTTCTGACCATGAACCATCGAAAATTGTCGTAGCTGGCCGCCATGCTGAGCACTCGTTCTTGTGTGCTAGATCTCAATGTAAAGGGCATTGAATCCATTGTTTTGACAGGTCACCATTGCGGTGCTGGCCCTATGCGCCTTCATATGCATTAACCTCAGCATCAGAAGATCGAACCACGTTTGCACACTAATCCGTGTACACGTCTGTGCACGCCGCTGGCCTCCTAATACCATTCAGCAGGTTATCACCTACAGCTCTGACCCTGCGCTGGTCGGATGAAATGAATCCTTAAGCCAGGAGTCGATCAGGCTGGCGGATGCATGATTGGACATGAAGCAATCGTGATAGCTTGTTACACGCATCCTGCGACCGGCCGCTTCAGCTCTTGCTTGCATGAAGGAGAGCGGTGTCGCAGCTTTGCCAATGATTATGGTGTACGGTAGACGTTGACCATGTCAGCATCACTTGAATCAGAATGTCACTACGTTTATCAACATACAGCCCATACGGGATCCGCTCTCTTTACAACCGGGTTCTTTTCAGGCAGGGGCAGGGGCTCCCCCAGGCGGCCCGCCTGGCCCCCCTCCCGGAGGGGCAGGGCCCCCTTGCCCCGCCCTTCGGTTTCTATGCGTGATGCGGCCCCTGGTGAGGTCGTAGGGCGAGATCTCGACCTTGACGCGGTCCCCCTGGAAGATCTCAATTCTGTTGCGCCGGATCTTGCCCGAGATGTGCGCCAGCACCTGGCACCCGTTGTCCAGCGCCACCTGGAACATGGCGTTCGGCAGCGCCTTCTGCACCTCGCCCTCCATCTCGATCGCACTCTGCTTCTTCAGCGCTGGCCGCAGCCCCCGCCCGCGCCGCTGCGGGCCCACCTCCCCAAAGTCGCCCACCACCGCCATCGCCAGCGCCACCGGATACGCCGGCCCCAGGGACAGCCGCGAGACAGCAAGCGCTCCAACAACACAGGCTATACAGGCTAGGACAGCAGCCACCCAGGCGCGCAGTGCTGCACACCGGAGACAAAATGGATGGGGGAGTCGGCGGAAAAAGCCACGCAATATGCAGTGCCTAGCGACGATCGCTCTCTTGCATCAAACCGTTGCTAGCCCGCACGACTTTCAAAGGACGCATCCATTGTTACTGACACACAAGCATACAAGCAAGGAACAACTTTGCAACAAGCACTCCATAGAGGCACAGACTTGCAGTATGACCCTGCTTCAAGCCCCATCGACCTCACCTGCGGGCAAGTGTCTCAGGACCGGTGCCTGCGACACGGCCTGCCCAACAGTCTCAGCTGCACTGCGTGCTTCTGCCAGGCACCACGACAGGACTTTCCGCACTGGCGCCTGCGAGTGAGGAGGCAGCACGAGGCCAGGGTTCAAAAACACACGCGTGAGCAATTATGAGGCTTTACAGCGGAAGCAGGTCCTGAGTCCTCCTGCCACGACCACCAGAGCCCCACGCAGCACGGGGGTAAACTCGCACCGACACAGAATATGATAGCACAGCAACCGCGGCCAGTTATGACCCATGTGCAAGCACTAGCAGCTATTCGGAGTTGTGCTAGGGCTAAGGCCCAGATCTAAGACACAAGCTCCGCCACAGCATCTGTTGGCTGGGGGATGCTAAACAGCTGAAACCGCCCCAGGCTGTGTGGAATGACAATCTGCCCTAGCCTGGCAGGGTCAACGATGACGGCATTGAGTTTATTGACCAGCAGCCCCTCGCTAGACCAAGGCCCAGGCGCTCACTTGCGATGGTCCCTGCGTGGCCGCTGTTCGGGCAGAGGACGCAGCCTGTATTGAAGAACCGGTGCGCTCCCCTCTGAATGTGGTTCCATGCTCCTGGCTCCCTATTTGCAGCCACCGCCAGCCAGAGTGCCGCCTCATCTGTGCACCAAGGGGGGGTATCTGTGAGTCAGACCACCTTCTCCGCCCAATGCCAGCAGGTACTTGTACAGTGAACGGGGGCTATGGTATGAGCCGCCTACTCGCATACCTACGGCCGGTGCGACATAACAAAAGTGCGCTCAATTGGCGCGCAGCATTTGCGCAATTGATTATGCTTGGAACCGATGCGAGGGAAGTGGTGCAGCAGCAGGTGGTGCCAAACTCTACTGCACACATCCAGCATGATTTGTCAGGACAAGGACAGCATTCACCCGCCATCACGGGAACAAGAGGCCTCAGTCATGAGGGGCGCGGCGGCCTCGTTGGCGCCTCACCTGGACCAGCGCGGCTGGGCTGACAACCGGAGCCCCTGCCGACCCCGCCTGGTGGCCCCCCCTGCCCAGCTGGGGCGAGTCACCAAGGGAAGCTCCCCTTGCGGCGGGCAGCCGGTGGTGGCGTGCAGGGCGCCAATGTGGGGTGTTCCATAGGCCGGGTGCGGCGCCACAAGGGGGACAGCAGGCACCATTACCGGTGTGGCGCTCTGGCAGCGCTTCGCGGCCCGCCCGTCCGAAGATGCTCGAGCTGGCAGCCTCCACGCGCACCAAGCTGGCAGCCATGGCGTCTGCGGTCCTGTGGCTGAACCAAAGCTATCTAGAGCACTTCTCTCTGCGTTCGCTGACATCAATTCTGGAAGGTAAGCTACCCCAACCACCCTAACCACCCTAACCACCCTAACCAGCGAGTTTGTAACCGTAACGCTACGGTGATGTAACTGCATGGTTCTGTTCAGATCGTTACACACCGCGACTGAGAACCTCGCGTTGACCACGGAACAAAACCTGACACCCATATTGGCACACAGATCTTCCAACTCCGTTCAGCATGTTCATGGGTGCTTTCAATCGTGCTTCCAAGGCATTGGCAGCATCACCATCGCCGCTATGGCAACCAATGCGGAGGGCGTGTCCGGTGCTGCCGACAAGATGGCGAGCGCCAGCCTGGGCGACGGCCCCTCCCCATCGAATGGTCCCGCGGTGAAGGTGGCAGGCAGCGCCGGCAAGAAGGGCAAGGAGGGCGACAAGAAGAAGGGGGCCAAGGAGCTGCCCGCGGAGGTGGTGGAGTACCATCAGCAGCGGATTGCCATGTTTGAGGAGCTGCAGAAGGAGCAAAAGGAGCACCGCCAGCAAGTTGGCGGGGAGGCTATCAAGTGAGGGCTATCGCCAGCTCTTTCAAAAATCCAGGAGTGGGAAGTTGGCATTTGAACTATGATGGTTGAATCATGTGTGAGAGTGGGCCTATGGATCACTATCACTTCTCTGCATCGCACCACCAGGTGAGGTCGGCGGCTGCCCCCTGTAAGTGCTCACTGTCAGTGGGCCTCCCTTCACATGGTGTTTGGTGCGCTGCGCAGGGTGTCCATTGGCGGCCAAGTGGTGGAGGGCAAGAAGTGGCTCTCTACGCCGTTTGACATCGGCAAGACCGTCTCCAAGGACCTCGTCAAGGACGCCCTCATCGCCAAGGTCAGCCATGGCTGTCGCATTTCAACAGCCAGTTGCAAATGTTGTCAGATTGTCTGTGTCTCCTTTCGCCGAGCAGGTGTTCTTCGGGTCGCACTCTTGATCCTCAGTCCCATTGGCGCCGCTCATGTCTAAGAGCCTGTGCGTGCGCTGAGCGGTGGTTGCGTGGTGCGTACAGGTTGATGACGTGTTGTGGGACATGGCGCGGCCGCTGGAGGGCGATTGCAGCCTGCAGATCTTCAGCTTTGAGAGCGCGGAGGGCCGGGACACCTTCTGGCACTCGAGCGCACACATCTTGGGGGAGGTGCGTGGACCACCAGTACAGCTCTCCATTCTTTCAGAGAGCCCTGAACCACTTACCATGTGCGGGATGTTTTCGATCCTGGTCTACGTTAACAATTACGCAGTATAAGCGTGTTCATTTTTGAAACAAACTTGAGATCACGTTCCATTGTCACGCCCGCTGGTGGTTGTCTCTTCACTGCGGGTTTTGGTGGAGTGCAGGCGCTGGAGCAGGAGTATGGCTGCGACCTGTGCATCGGTCCCTGCACGACGCGTGGAGAGGGCTTCTACTACGATGGTTTCTACGGGGGGCTTACGCTGGAGGAGGAGCAGTACAAGGCGATCAAGGCCAAGGCGGGGTGGGCCGTGAAGCAGAAGCAGAACTTTGAGAGGATTGAGGTCACGCGCGAGCAGGCCATGCGCATGTTTGACAAGAACCCTTTCAAGGTCAGGCCACCACAAGCCCACGTTAGCCCTCGCAGCAATTGTCAAGTCGCTCTTGCAACCAACGATTACTACCGGTTTGGATATCGGACTTGTTGTCTCAAACTTCTCACTTGCTCAAACCAGTGGTCTTCTCAGTATTGTCAAGTTGGACACCTCTATTGCGGAGGCTGACCCCCGGTGCGTGTCCCCAGATCGAGATCATCCGCGAGCTGCCTGAAGACAAGACCATCACGGTGTACCGCTGCGGCCCCCTGGTCGACCTGTGCCGCGGGCCCCACATCCCCAACACCGGCGCCGTCAAGGCCTTCCACATCTCCAAGGTCGGAATTCTCCCTGCCCTACCGGCGCCTGACTCAACTCTGCTACAGTTTTGCGCGTTTCACTCAGCGTTCAACCTTTTCGAGTTTCCTCTGGTGAAGCGGGGGAGTGCTGTGGCTGCCTCAGGAGCTGTTGCTATGCGACGATCACTGTTGGAGAGCTGCCCTGTCTGCCCGCTGCCGCTGAATGATGTGTGGTGCGCTGAGCAGGCTGCTGCGGCGTACTGGCGTGGGGACCAGACGCGGGAGAGCCTGCAGCGCGTCTATGGCATCTCGTACCCCAACGACACCCTCCTCCAGGTGGGAACCCCGACCGTCAGCTGTAAGCATGCGTCTCCCCATATAGCACACTGAGCTTCTTCAGCCGGCCTCTACAGAAAAGAAAGACGCAGGTTGCGTGTTGCCTGCGGCAGGCTCTGCTCGTGCGTGTCTTTGTCGGGAACTCATCATTGCGGGTGTGTGGCGCAGGAGTACTTGCACCGATTGGAGGAGGCCAAGAAGCGCGACCACCGCCTGCTGGGCATGCAGCAGGAGCTCTTCTTCTTCCACCCCCTCAGGTACGCGCCGCAAGCAGCCCACCAGCACAGCAGACACTCCTTCAGACACTCCTTCCTCTCATCTTGGCTCAGTTGCCGGGTTGTGTTGCTCCATATCTCTCAAAGCCGGCATCTCAGGGTCAGAGCATTGCCGCGGTTGATTCCTTTGCCCTGAAACTCGGCGGCGGTATGTTGCAGCCCCGGGAGCTGTTTCTTCTTGCCGCACGGCGCGCGCGTGTACAACCGGCTGCAGGAGTTCATCCGCGGGGAGTACCGGCGGCGCGGGTACCAGGAGGTGGTGACGCCCAACATGTACAACCTGGACCTGTGGGTCACGTCCGGGCACGCCGCCAACTACAAGGAGAACATGTTCCTCTTCGACGTCGAGAAGCAGCAGTTCGGCCTCAAGCCCATGAACTGCCCCGGCCACTGCCTGCTCTTCGACCACCGCGTGCGCTCCTACCGAGGTCAGCAGGAGGCCCCACTCCATCCCGCAATTTGCAGAGGCGCCTTGCAGATTGGCCTTCTTTCATACCAATACCGTGGGGCGAGATGAGAGCTCGGTCGTGAGACGATGGTCGCTTGTCGTACAATTCAGAGCATCTCTCTGAGCGCAACGTAGGGAATATATGACTCGTAGGAACCTGTTCTTCTAGACAATACTCCTCTCCCTGACTCTCGTTTCCCTGCTGCTTCCAGAGTTGCCGTTGCGGTTGGCGGACTTCGGCGTGCTTCATCGGAACGAGGCGAGTGGGGCGCTCACGGGGCTCACGCGAGTGCGCAGGTTTCAACAGGTGGGCACCGCAATACACCTGAAGACCGCATTCTCACGAGGTATCGTTGCCTCGGGGGGCAAACAAACGCCTGGCTAGCATCAATCTCAGAAGGTCCTCGGCTAAAGAATCTTTGAAAGACCGGCTGACGCTTTGGGACAGGCCATATGGGCTACCTTGCATTGGCAAGGAGGTGATGGGCCTCATACCCGGTCGCATCCTGACGTGCGCGGTGTGGGCGGGTGCTGCAGGACGACGCGCACATCTTTTGCACGGAGGCGCAGATCGAGGAGGAGGTGCGGGGCGTGCTCGAATTTTTGGCGCATGCGTACGGCATCTTCGGCTTCGAGTTCGACCTGGAGCTGTCGACGCGGCCTGAGAAGTACCTCGGGGAGCTCGCCACGTGGGACAAGGCCGAGGCCTTCATGGCCAAGGCGCTCGACAGCTTCGGCAAAAAGTGGCAGGTCAGTCCCAGGCCGCGCGCTATTCTTCTCAAAATGTAGGGAGATATAGAGAGGCCGAAGGAAGGATCCGCGAATTACGACCAGGGCAAGCGACGAGGCCCGCGTGGTCATCGGAGAATATGAACACGACCTGGGCCTGATACAAAGCTGTTGTCGCGGAACAATGCCTCAACCGCTCTAGACGGTCACGGACCAACGACAAGGGCCGTCGCCTCGACAGATGCTTTTTCTGGTCGTTGCACAGCTGATAGACCATTGATGTTGGGGTATGGTGTTGCAGATCAACGCGGGCGACGGCGCGTTCTACGGCCCCAAGATCGACATCACGGTGTACGACGCGCTGAAGCGCAAGTTCCAGTGCGCCACCATCCAGCTGGACTTCCAGCTGCCCATCCGGTTCGACCTGTCGTACAACACGGAGAGCCTGAGCAGCGACGAGAAGACGCGGCCCGTCATGATCCACCGCGCGATCCTGGGCTCCGTGGAGCGCATGTTCGCCATCCTGCTGGAGCACTACGCCGGCAAGTGGCCGCTCTGGCTCAGCCCGCGCCAGGTCATCGTCTGCCCCGTCTCCGAAAAGCACCACGACTACAGCCAACAGGTGAACCCGCCCCACACACGCCGGCTGCTTTGTGTCGGCCACGCAATGACCGTGTGAATCGCCCCAACTGCAGGAGACCCTTCCACCGGAGAGATTCTTGAGGAGGCGTGTCGAAAGGAAGGTTTAGTACTGCAGTTTGGGATCAGCGGTCGATGATAATCGGACACAGTATACTCAGCGTATAAGGCGTCGTTGGCGTGGCTGACGTGGCTGCGTGTGGCGTGTGCAGGTTGCTGCGGAGATCGAGGGGGCGGGCTTCTACGTGGAGGTGGACTACAGCGACCGCAAGCTGCCCAAGAAGGTCAGCACCCCGCCGCACTCGTGGCATAGTTTGAGCATGCGGGGCCCTGGCTGCCTGCAAATAAAGGCGTCTACTTTGCCATCAGGACTGTCGGATGGACATAGTGTCTCTGCTATTTATAACAGGGGCTCTGGTTATCTGACCCGCGCTCCTCCTTCCCCTCAGATTCGGGAAGCTCAGTTGGCCCAACACAACTTCATCTTGGTGTGCGGAGCGGAAGAGCTGGAAAGCAAAACGGTGAGCATGCGCCGCTTCAGCTTGAGCCAGGCACTGTCGCAGGTAGCCCCAAGTGTTCGGTAGGCATGGGAGGAAGGTCAACAGAAGAGAATGGCTCGTGGCGGACTGTTTGGGCCTCAGGTCTTGGTACGCATGCCATCTAGAAAAAGCACGTTTCAGAGAGTTCAAGACGATGACCGTCCGGGCATCAGCAATATGAGCATCGAGACCCTTGGGCTGGATTGCTCCGCGGTCTCAACGAAAAGGTTTGCGAGGGCGGTGACGCCCTCACTTGAATTGTCCGAACACGTCGCCAACGGTTTTTATGGTCCGCATGTGCTTTTGAAAGGGGGCATCTGATAGGACAGTGGGGTTTCTTCTCATGGGTGGACGGTTGAGGAGTTCCTGTTGGCTTCGGGAGCCTGGTGCCTTGTGGATTGACTTACTTAGGCCGCTCTTGACTGATACACGCTGATTGCGGTCGTGTTGCAGGTGAACGTGCGCACGCGGGATAATCAGGTTCACGGAACAAAGCCGGTTGCAGACTTCATTGCAGATCTGCGGCGACTCGTGGGAGAGTATAAGTGACCAGGAGGCACTGTAGTGATTTGCGAAAGAGACAGCCGTGTGATTGTTCTTCTTGTGTTCAAACCTGCGGAAGTGCTATTCTTAAGAAGAGAGCTTGGGAAGATGCTTGTGCATCTTGTAAAGCAGAAAACATATTTCGGTGCGCTGCTATGTACGAAATGTCCTTGGGTTGGTGGCTGGCAGAAGGTGATGTGATGCCTAAGATGGACGAAGTGCTTGCCATGCCACAAGTATTGACGTCGAGATGGGTCTCCCTTTGATACTTGAACCACACGTGGCATAGACCCGATGTCGGTAAATTATGCTCGTGCAGATCCATGCAGGATCTGCCTTTCAGGAAGGGTAAGCATTCACTAGAACATACTTGATACGAAAGTACCTTGTACAATTGGTGTTTCTCATGGAAGAATACCGGACCCTGCAGTGCGCATCGCAATTCAAAGCTGTGTGCACATGGTAGCCAGGTTGCACGTTTTAGAACATCGCCGGGTTGCACATGCTCGCCACAAAACGTATACGTCAGCTTCTGGATTCATACCGGACACGCGAGAAGAGTCCGTGTCGATCGAGCTTATGCTACATGGGCCGGCCGATCATATAGTTGTGGCCATAAACGATGCCCGTGCATGCAGTAGAAGCTGCTGCATGAAAACCTTTTAGTCTTTCAATTCTATTTACATATGGCCGGAGTGTGCGCATGACCCTTAAGTTCGCGCTCTCATTTGTGAAATCCTTGCAATGCAAGCTATGATAGATGCGGTTGAAAAGCTTGTGTCCTATATCGATTCTAACTTAAACTTCAGCATTAAAGTAGACGCTCGGCTCGTCGAATATATGCGGGGCTGCCCAGGTTGCATGTCTATACCCCAGTTGCAAATCTAAATAACGGCCATGGTGACAACGACAATGGCAAGGAATAGCTTTAGTATGCGTGCTTCTTTAATTCAAACCTGAAAGACCTTTGATTCTTGACCATCATCAAAACAGCTGTTTTGCACCCGTGCATTTCTCGCGCAAACTTCAGCTCATGTTTGAATGCGGTTGATGCGACTCACTCCCTTGCGAATTAAATCGATTTCAAACTTTGTTTGCATGCCATTCACGGCTTGAAGTTCTCTAGAGTCTACTATACCTTCTATGGCATGCTACAACTAGTCGAGGACACACCATTCCATGCAAACTTCAGAAGTGATTAGCAGGGGATCAAGACGGCCTGTCTGGAGGTCCAAGGCAGAGAGCTTCCTACGTTCATGTATCTCTACAGAGCAGACAAAACCCCAATTTTGCCTAGTGATGCCCACAGACTTGCATTTGGAATCAGGCGTGATCCTACATTTTCTAGCTGCTCGCGAGTCGGATTGAAGAGGTTCTCAGTGAGCATTCAAGTACACGGACATCCAATTGTACACAGGCTAATGTACACGTCTGACCCTTTACTTCTTAACTCTAATCTTACGAGTTGATGATCTCATTTTATCCCCCCCCCTCCCATGCTTTGACGGCGCTTGAAGGAATGTTCCTTGCACGTTTGTGTGCACCTGCGAGTTCGCTTCGAAGTCAAAGTCGGCCCCGCATCGCTTCTCGGTGCATCTCCCAGGCCCAGCTCGGCTATCCGAGATGCTCTATCGCTGTCTCTGGAGGGAGTCTTTTGTCGTTATAGTACAGCGGGCACCGGCGGGACAGCCTTGCCCACTTCCAGGCGGCTCAGCCGTACGGTCCCCAGCAGGTGCTCCGGCAGCTCCTCCTCCGTGTCCGCCTGCACACCACACGCCCATCAGCACCGCTTTTACACAATACACCGACAGCAAAGGAGTGCACCGCAAGCATGCCAAGCACTGCCCCGTGCCACTCGGCCACTGCCGGATCTCGTAAACTGGCGGCTCGCGGGATGAGACCCAGCTATGCATTGCCATGACAAATGACAGAACAGTGCAGTACCCCTGTGTACTTGGGAATGGGCCCCTAACTGCACGCGAACATGTACCCAGAACGAAGCGCTGATTTGACAGATGCAACGTGGCCTAGCCGCGCTGGGGACGTGGCTGACCTGGATGAGGAAGGCCATGTCGACGGTGAGCTTGGATAGGTAACCCAGCACCAAGCCCACCACGCCGTTGGCCACGCTGCTCGACCCAATGTCGATGTCCAGCTGGGTGCAGCACCACGGGGAGGAACACGGGTCAGCCAGGAAATACGAAGAGCACGAACCCATGCAAACGCATGCGGGCACCAGTACCAAGCAAGACAGAGATGGAGCTGCCTACACGCATGAACCTGGGAACACTGCAGCACATCTGCAGCTTTGCCCCGCGGTTACAGAGCCATCGGGTGCTGCGGAGAGTATCTGGAACTTTCGAGGGCCCGAGTGCGAGCCTGACCTCGAGGTAGCTGGGCCCGCGGTGGTACGTGATGCGCAGCGCCTCGCCCACCAGGCATGCGCGCTGGCCGACCGCATTGCGCACCAGCCAGCCACCCTGCACAGCCCAGCGCGCAGTCAGGCAACACTGCCGCAGAGCAGGCACTGACAGCAGTAAACTAAGAGGCAGCAACGACCGTATTTTGACAGGATCCGGACCGTAGCTCACGCATCACCTTCGGGATGAAGTAAAGCTTACAGAGAGGCCCCGCTTCTGATTACAGCCGACTCAGCACATTGCTACCTGGTTGAAAAAGAACCAGGCGCGCTGTGGGGCGTGGGCTGACCTGTGCGATGTTGGGGATGAGCTTGAAGCGGCTGTTGCGGAAGGCGTCGGTGTCGTTGACGAAGCGGTGCAGCAGCGGCCACTGCTCCAGCGGCTGCAGCAGCGCGTAGTACAGGCACAGGCTGTAGCACTCGCGGCCGGGCACCTGCAACACCGGGGTCCGCACAACCGTCACGCCACAGCCCCGTTGGGTGACAACTCATACAAGGCTCCCTAAAAGCGACGTGCAGCCGTTTGTGCTTTACTCAGGCTAACCCGCAGCGGAATCTACCTGGCGGGTTTCAGCGTAAGGGAGGGCCGCACCCGGTTAAACTTGGGAGCCTTACCTGCAGGTTGATGACGCAGAAGAAGGGGCTAAAGTCGGACGCTTTTTGTACGAGGCAGCCGGGGCGCGCCGCAAGGTGGTCCTGCCGAACCTTGCTGCGGAACCAGTCCATGCCCACGAGGTGCATCAGGGGGGGACCGCCCGACTCCTGCACGCACACCCCCACAGGGTTAGGCCGGGGACCACTTCCATAACGTCTTCGAACGTGAGTGTGACCACCTTATCTTGAAGTGCTGTAGCTTCTAGCGTGCTTTGAGAAGCTCACTGTGCACGGCTGGCCAGATAGCAACTGGCGAGGACAGGGCTTGCACGAGGGCAGTTGCAGGTGTGCTGCGGGGGTACCTTTTTCTTGTCGATGAGGTAGGAGGCGCTGCGGATGAGGAAGAGGCTGCCGGGCGGGCACGCCCACGAGTGCTTGGCGTCCAGGCTCACGGGGCCCTCCGGCACCGACGACAGGCCCTCCACCGACCGGCTGAAACGCTGCCCCGCAGACAGGCCTGCAGCAGCACGACAAAGAAGTGACTGTCATGGGTGGGGGCCCAAGCGAGGGGTAACCAGGCAACATCAGATTATGCATTCGCACAGAAACCTTCAGATTCAGGATGTAGAAAGGATACAGATATCCGGAATACATACAGCGCGTGGAGAATATCAGACACGATGGCGCCTCTTGGCAATCTGAAAAGGGACGCAAGTCCTCGTTTGATCCAGAGACGATACGAACAACGAAGCAATCGAGGGTGTCAGCCGTTGGCATGGTTGCTAACCTTCGTCCTTGGGCACGCGCGGCGGGGACGAGGGGCGGGGGGTGAAGCACGCCATAGGGCCGGCCTCCTTGCGCGACTTCCTCCCGCTGGGATGCTTCAGGAACGGCAGCGGCAGGCACATGGCGGCCAGGCCGTCCTGCACGACACGCCAACGGCGGTTAGGCCGTGAGCCGTGAAAGGAGACCCGAAAAGCAACAGACGTCTTGCTGGCATCAGGCAGCGGTACCCGTGCAAGATCTCCCCAGGTCAGGCATAAGCGAGACAATACGCAGCGGCCGAACGGCTCACGTCGGCGTCGCTGTCGGACTCCTCTCCCTCCACCTCGGCCTTGTCCGCGGCATCCTGCGCCTCGCGCGCCTGCCACGTGGTCTCCTCCCTAGCGTCGAAGAACTCGTCGTCCTCGCCCGGGTCCAGGAAGCTGTCGCTCACAGCCGCCTTCGGCCCCGCCCCGCCATCCTCGGTCGCGCTACTACCCATGGGAGCCGCGACCCGTGATGCAGAGCTTGCGAGGGGCTCTTTTCCAATCTCTGGCGCCAGGCTTTTGTCAGGAGGTGGCATTGGGAGGAGGCGCGGCCGGTCGGGCTGGCCATTACGTGGCTCACAAGACGTCCAGATGCGGTCCCAAGCCTCTAGTTTGGGCTCCCGTGATGCGAACATCTCACGCAGCGCTGCAGCACCCCAGGGACAGAACCCGTTAGAAGGGGCCACCCGGCAGATCATTGCGGAGTCTTCGCAGCATACGAACAGCGGACGAGTAGCTGTCAGAAGTCATGTGACGGTGTGCCATAGTCTGGGCAGTGCGTTACCTGCGACCCGGTTGAGCATGACGTGCGTGAGCTTCTTCCCAAGCGGCAGGCGCGTGCTCATGAGCCAGCCGCCCCAGTGGATCTCCAGCATGCTGCGCACCACCGAGCGCGCGGGCTGCCCAGGGCGGCCGTCGCGAATGGGCGATACCACGAAGCCGCCACCTGCGCACGGGAAGGTTTCAATCTAAGAACGAAAGGACAAAGCTCAATGACGGCCCCTGCTTGGAAGCCTGCAACGGACAACGAAGAAAGAGCGTGTACCGGAATATTTCAATAGCCTTTAAGATCAAAACAATATCAATTGCAAACAGGAGACGAGCAATCTTCATATTGCACTCGAGTGAAGTTCTGGGGCAACACAAGTGCCGGCAGCACGTCACTCACTTCCAACCGTGGCTCTCCGATAGCCTTTCTTCTTGGGACACCGGTCATGGCGGGTCGAGCGGTACAGCACTACTGCACAGGCCAGCATAATATCTTAGCAGCGGGCTACCTTATCTGCTTACCCGGCGACTCGCCAGACAGCATCACGGAACCGTGTGTGAGGATCACGCAAGCACAATCAGATCTCGAGCTCGTTTCGAACCATTACTCGCAGTGAGTAGAACGAGTGTTGGGATGTTCACCCCTGCTAGAACCATCCAACGCACACCTAGCAACTGAATGTTAAGCTTACCATACGTCCCATCCTCTTCACGCCTCCAGAATCGCGTCAGCACCACATCGCGAGGTAGCATCCGCCTGAGATCAACCGCACCAATCAGCAAGGCAAACATGATCGAACACCTCGAGGAGGCGTAAAACGTTCACACTCTGTACAGCGGTGGTTGAGGATAACGACTCGCCAATTTGAGCCCAAAGGACAAGAAAGAATAAGCAGAACATGAGCCGTTGATTTCTTTTGAGTGGAGGGTCACTTTGGACGTGGTGCGCGCACCCTGGGAAGCAGTCGTGGCGGTAGGTCTTGTGGATGATGTCGGTGTGGCCGTCCACGTGCTCCAGCACGCGGCCCTTGGCGAAGAACACGTCCCACTCGCCACGGCTGGGGCCCAGCGACATGACTGCGTCAAACACCTGCTCGCAGCTGGCCTCCACCACGCCCACCGCCATCAGCACCGGCGGGGGGGACGGCTGCCGCTGCCACCACTGCACTCACAAACCAAGCAATGGTTGGCAACTCAAGGCACAAAAAAGAAAAATCTCAGAGCACACACAGAGACTCCCTCAGTCAGAGAAAGAGATTGCCGAGTTGGTGCAAGTATCAACGAGACAGCTCTTTGATTCCCACCAACCCCTCATTGTCGACTCAATACAAACTGATTAGAGAAGTGATGACAAGGGCATTGGTATACAGCTCTTTTCCAGCTCTTGAACATCAAACACAGAGAGACACTCACCTTCCCTTTGGGCTGACCCTCTGTCAGTTCTTTGAAGATTCGAAGGCCTGATCCAGCAGGGGAGACGAAGATCGTGGTCAAACACGCGACTCCGTAGGCAGTAGCCTGAGGACGGAGCGACCAGCAAAAACCTGAGCATCTCTCAGTGTCCAGTTTTGCTATGCTCAAGGACGTCAGAAAGCAGATGGGCCCCTCAGGCCAGGCCTATCTGTTAAGGCTTTTTCTTTGCTGCTCACCGTTCCTGCACTCCTTGATCTTCCAGTTGCTGGAGGACACCACAGGAATTTCGCGCTTGCCCGGCTGGACCCCTGACCAGGCTACCATCACTGAGGAGGGGTCTGGACAGAAAAACGAGCTAGAATCAGGGGTTACGTGGAAACATGCCAGCCGCAGCTTGCATCCTCGAGCCGAGTGTGCTTGAAACATTCACATTGATCAGGACTGATCGTTCATCCACAAGGCATGGTGGTTCCAAAGGGGCCCCAGATGAACCTCAGGCTAACGGAAGCCTTCGAACAGCTCTCTAAGCACAAGTAGGCGGGTGGAACCATGTCATTGCTGTTGGACTTGCCAAGAGGGTCTGCACCCCCACCTTGGAGGCCTGCAGGCGCCTGGCACATTACCACAGGTTTGGCTGTCCCAAGCTGATCCAGGTCTGCATCCGATGAGCCATGGGCACTGAGCAGCGCAAGGCTGGAGCGAGCAGGCCGCTTCTTGAAGGCCTTCTTCTCATGGAGGGCAATGAACTCCTCGGCGTCATCGTTGCTAGCCTGGAATTGAAGAAAGTTCCGAGGTCAGCCTTCCGAAAACCTCTTGACACTGCTCATCAAGTCTTTCAGGTCCGCAAGCAAAAGCTGCCTCTCTGAATAACGGTTGCTGTGCAAAGGCGCAGATGAGGTAGTTTCAAGCACACAGGATGTAGGGGAGGCATACCTGGTTCGAGGCTTCTCGGAACGCCTGTATCCAAGCAGCCGCTTCATCAGGACTCTTGGCCCCAAGCTGTCATCAAGAAAGATGCAAGGGTTCAAAGGGGAGGCCATCACTTTTGTTGACGGGGCTCTGGTCAAGCATCTGTTGCTGATTCAGGCACTTCTAAGTTCAATGCAATGCGCTTTCCCAGGACAACAAGCAAACTGGCCATACATAGTAGGGATCTATCATGAAATCTCAGCACCCGTCCTGAGTTAATTCATTGACCCTCCCAGGCCATATCACTAGCGACCGATATATGCACCTTGAGCTGGCGCGCATGGTCCGTGGGGTCATAGATCCTGAAAACATACAGGGCCTGCAGAGAACAAAGCAACCATGTGGCTAAGCAACCCGACTTTTCCACACCAACAAAATACCATAGTTCCTACTCAAGAGACAAAGCAAAACCGTCTACATCAACCTGCTCTTGAAACTCTCCGACCATGTCACCACTACTGTTTGCACATGCTTTTCCAAGATGTCAACACACAGAGCCCCATGGCGCCATCATGCCTGCTGAGCTGGGAGGGGCGGCAGAGCCTCACCCGCCCTCTAATGGCTTCCCTCCCCTGCTCTTCGATCCGCATATAATGGGATAGCCGACCATCTCTGATAGGAACCTGTATCATCACAAGCGAGCAGCCAATCATCAATTAAGGCGAAGATTTGCACTAAGCAGCAAGAATTCTCATCAAGAAGAATGCAGATTTCGATCACGAACAGGGGCAGATCTATAACAAAGAGAAATATAAATATGCTGCTACTTTTCATTGAGAGAAAGAAGTACCCCACCTCTTGGGACTTTGCAGAAGGTTTACTGCTGAAACACATGGCCCGGCCATCTTCCACCACAAAGTATCGCTTGTGAACGCTATGCCTGCATAGAAGTAGCATTTTAAGTAGAAGATGGGGCAAGCACGCGCCCAACTGAATCAGGAGTTGCACCACTATGCACCACTACATGCTGACCGAACTATGGTAGTCAGCAAGTGTAAAATGTAGCGCCCAAATAGTGCTTCCAGGAAGCAGAGGTCATAACTTACCTGCGATAGTACGAGTGTATGAAACTGCCATACACATACAGCCAACCTTCTTTGCGCCTGCGGCCGTTCATGCCTGCTACATGCAAACAGCACCTAAGCTGACTGCCAAACCTCAGAAGCCAACCTGCACTTCAAGTCTTTCGAAAGCTGCAATGATGGCCACGTTCAGCCTCGTCACGAGTAGCACGTCTGGTGCCAGCAAGAGACACCCCAAAACAGGACCACCCCCTTAGAGGACCACCAGTTGGGATGCTTCGCTGTTGTGAGCTGAAGCTGTCTGCCCACTCATTGTCTCAACTGCCTGGAATTTACCCCGCTAAGCAAAGTACCATTTTAATGTAGAACAAAGCTGCTGGTGAGCTGACTTGGAGCTGCACCGTATCAATGAGCAGCCAAAGGCACAGCTAAGCTGCTGTAGGTACTAGCTGCTGAGAAGTGCTGATGTCATCCTTGTCAACACCCCATCGAAACAACAGCTAGCAGCACTAGCCATCCCAGCTCTAGCTTGCTGTACCATCCAGGACCAGTCCTCCATTTTCAATGTGAGCGGAGGAAAAGGAATGGCATACCTAGCTGGAAACACGAAGCTCACGCGAGGGGACGAACGCTGGACGAACGTTGCATTGTGGACCCGTACGGTGACTGAGTCTGACTTCGAGTTGCCGGGGAGCTGCCATCTGGCAATTCCCGGCGATACCGAAGGGCCACGTGAAACTCGTGTTGCTATCTCCAAAAACGCCACGTCGAAAACTTCTGATTTTCCGACACATTTGAAGCGTTCGATACAAATATAAGAATGTCGACGGTAATAAGTTTCTCTGGGTCAATAAGTCAGAATTCTCCCACCCAGGCCAAATGCTTTGCACTACCACTACCTACGGTCTGTACCGTAGCCCTAACCTGCCTGCCCAGTAGAAGTAGACTGAAGAGGCTAGGGTTGAGCAGGTTGCTTCCAGGAACGGCGCTCAGAATAGAAGAGGAACATACTTAGGAGCACGCCCCTTCAGCACTTCGCTCATTGTGACAAGAGAAATTGCTACTGAAGGAATTGCAGGGTTCAAGAAAGCGCACGCTGATTGACATTATTTGCTACGCTTTATTTGTCAAGCTGGGAGGGAACCACTGGTCAGGCATGGGGAATCAGGAAAAGCTCTTGGATCAGGTATGTGAGAAACTCATCTTACTTCAATGCTGGGACAAGCATGGCACAGCAAGCAGGTTTTTGCTACGTTCAAAACCCACCGCACTTGTCGCAATTGTTTGTCCCGCTGATTTTCCGTAAAGGTGCGTGAATATCCGTGAACGCTAGTGGTCACATCTTTGTCAGCAACTTTGTGCTCAAATCATGGCCTCATTGAGAACTCGAAACCCTAAAAAAGTACCGTCTTTGACTAATTGCATCGGTGGGGCATTGACTTTTGGGCCAATTTCGATTGCAATTCTTTTTGTTCGTTTGCAGATTTTCCAGCTGCGATATACTGCAAAGACGCTGGTGCGCCAGGCGAAAAAATGCGAGAAGGAGGAGAAGTCAGAGAAGCTGAAAGTAAAGAAAGCCATTGAGAAGGGGAATATGGATGGCGCCCGGATTTATGCTCAGAACGCCATTCGGAAAAAGAACGAGCAGTTGAATTACTTGCGGTTGGGGTCTAGGTTAGACGGGGTTGTGGCCCGGTTGGACACTCAGGCCAAGATGAACGTGATCAACAAGTCGATGGCCGGGATTGTCAAGTCGTTGGACAGGGCACTGGCCAGCAACAACATGGAGCAGATCTCGCAGACGATGGACACATTTGAGAAGCAGCTGATTGACCTGGACGTGCAGTCCGCCACCGTGGAGGGGGTCATGCAGGTGAGGGATTCCCCGGGTCGCTGCAATGCTCCCTTGACAAACTCGCCTTACGCAGTGCAGGGCACCTTTGTCAAACGGGCATGCAGTATCAAGGCGCGTCCCATGCGCATGATGGCTGAGTTTGACACGGTGATTACAACTGTTCACCCGGTTGACTGATGCCGGTGTAGCCCTTCTCTTCTCTTAAATTCCCTGCTTTTCCTGGGTCTAAGTTCACTCATTGCTTGAACCACATTGATGCCCCTCCACTTTCCTCATGAACCACCTTTGACATCTGACGCCTCGGGCCCCAATGCGTATGCTGCACCTAGAGGCTCACGGCAGGGCTGGAGAAGTTTTTTAATCGAGTCCAACTTACTTGTTGCAAGTTTCTAAAGTGAAGGAGATATGTGAGGTAGTCACGCCTTTCTGCTATGGAACTTTTCAAAGGAGGGAACTTCACATGGCATTCGGAGGTTTTCTTTTCTATCTGCTGAGCTGCTCTGTTCGTTGCTCAACGCCCGTTACTTTTTCTGAGGTGACTTTTGAAGATTTTGGTGCCAAAACTTCGTGGCTACTATAAGTTCCGGCATCAACATTTTCGAACTTTTCAAAGAGTCTGTCAAGTATCCACCAAAGCCTCCGGGACCTTGATTGTTGATTTCTGGGTTTGCTTTGAGACATCGAGGTCGCTGAAGCGGCAGGCTTGAACCCCCTGCTTCTTTAATGTAAGCTTCAACTCTGGGTTCGGAAGACAATAGATTGAATCGCAACTACTCATGTCGAGCTGATGTTGACAGAAATTGCAAAATGAAGAGATGGACTCGCACCTGCCTCTTAGTTTGTTTGTTTGTTTGAAAGCCTGGCAATACCGGCAGGTTGATGGGAACGCGCTTGTCCGGAAGAAGCGTTGCTGACCCAAAAAGCTGTCTCGCGTGTTCTGCCCTCTCGTGTTGGCTGGCTTGAACAGGCTGTCCTTTCTTGCTGGCCTCGAGTAACAAATGAGCATACTCACCCGCTGCCTGCGTATGTCGCTGTCTAAAGCAAAACAACTATGGTTCGTTGCCCGAAAGCTCCAGTAGACGGGCAAGTCTTGTGCTTGTAATCTGGAGCGAGCTATTGCATGTTTTGAGACCAGCTGTTAACCACTTTCCCAGCATTTTTTAACGTGAAAGAGCAAAGACGGGTTGTACCAAGTGCCTACCGAACCCCGCTAGTTTTTTCCCTTCAAGTCACAAGGTTCTGTTAGTACTGACGTAAGGTTCATTCCAACAGGGCACAACAATGATGTCAACACCAGAGGACGACGTCAACAACTTGATGCAACAAGTTGCGGATGACTATGGGCTGGAGGTTTCTGTGGGGCTCCCGCAAGCAGCCACGGGGCAGGTGGCAGGTGTCAAACAGCAAGAAACAGAAGCAGACGATCTCAGTAAGAGATTGGCTGAACTGAAAAGCCGTGGGTAAGACGTGGATTCGGCTCGTACATAGTTCTAGATTCGGATCCACGTATCTGGGCGGTAAGGCCTGTGTACGTCTAGGTTGTGACATTTAGCGAAGAGAATTTCATGTGGATCTTAAAACTTGACCGTCAATCTGTGGGGTCGAAAAGTCCTAAGACTTATGTACAATATGCAAAAATATCGAAAGCTCCAGAGTTAAAGGCAAAGAAGTTTGTTAAGAGGATATCGTCCTTATAAGATCATGAAGTTGGGTTGATTTGTGTCTGGCGCAGGCCCACGGAAAGCTCAGTTGACTGTTGGATCAAACTTAAGCTATCTCATGCCTCACTTGTGTTTTAAGATGACACGCGAATTCGGGCGATTCGACATGCAGCCTCGGATCAGATTAATACAATAAGATGGGCCAAATTTGGCCCATCTTATATTTTGCTGAGTAGATACAGCGTTGCGTTACCTGGGATGCATGTGATGTACGCGGGGCGGAAAGATGCATATAATCGGTTCTTTTGACATGCATGTGCGCGCATGTAAAGCTGACGAGCTGCCCCTGCCTCAGCCCCACGCTGAAGTCATGAACGTGTATCAGATCCATGCAATGCTATGCGCATGGCAAAGGCCATCCTCGTGCAGTCCACGTGCATCAGTGCAATTCAGGGGGCATTTAATTGATTGATTGAGGCCCGGCCTTACGTACAATCTAGAAGCAGACGTACCTAGCTGATTGGAGCATCTTGTATCTTGATATTATGTTGCAAACTTAGGACAACTGACTTTTACTTATCCCAGATTTTAGACTAGCGAACCCCTCGATGGAAACCCGAATACTGACCACTTAAGCAGCTCTTATGTCCATCAGTTTGTCCTTGCTAGAGCTGCACTAAAGCGGAACCCATGGTCGATCCAAGTGGACCCATGCCGCCCACTTCTTTGACTACCCAACCACTATTCACGGTCCAGCTCTCAATGTCGGCTACCCCATATGCAGCATATGCCGCCTCCAAATACCCACCTAATATGTACAAGTGCTCCCCGTCTGACTCAAGTGAACACAGCCGCCTCTTCCCCTCGATAGGCTGCGAGAAGCCTCTCATGTGCGCGATTGTGACCCAGCTGTTTTTGGCTGGACTATACTGCAAGATGCCCTGACTTTCTATATCTGCCACTGTGATGCTGCCTCGATGCACCGTGAGTGGCGGCATGTTGCCTGCAGTCGGCCACGGCCACATCTCCTCGATCAGCGTCCACGAGTCCCTCGCGGGATCGTACACCTGGCATCACGAGCACACGTGGGATAATCGTTTGCATCATAACTAGGCTTCAACACTCATCAAACCGTTATCCTCTCAGACACTCAGCAGGTCTTGGAAGCACGCAGCTACCTGAAAGATGCACATGACCTTAAGACGCCAGCTTTTGTTGCCTTTATACCACAGCATTCAACAGGAAGGGCGGTTGTTTTTGTATGCCATCGAAGCTGACATGCGGCGTACCTGAGCGGCCCGGGCTGATCCCCCCACGACCCACAATTTGCCCTCCACAAAGCGAGCTCGCCCCTGATCGCACGGCCTGAACATGTCGGCAATGGGCGCCCACCTGAGTAAACAGCCCAGAGACTCAATGAGGAAACATCCACCCACCTCAACATAGTCATACCTCACCAAGGCAGTGATGTTCTTTACAAGACTTCATAATGATTTACCCAAGCCTTTTGACATGAAAGCCATATGAAAGCAGCTGCCGACCTCCTTGCAAGGAAGATGTCCCTGCCTCCTGCATCCAGCCACGAGAAGCTTCAGATTGAATTGCACCCACTCTAGCACAACTTCTCAAGAGCCAGATTAAAGAGTGTTTTGCGCCACCTGTCCTGCTGTGTATCGTACACCCAAGCGGTGGCCAGCCGCTCCCCCTGCTCCATGATGCTGCCGCCCCTCCTGCCCCCCACCAGATACACGCGCCGCCCATCGCTGGCGCATGCGAAGTGGGTCCGCGGGGAGGGGACCCCCTTCTTCTCCTCCCACCGGTTGAGAATTGGGCAGTAGAGCCACAGGAAGGAACTGAGCGCCGCCGGGAAGATGCTCCCGGTGAACGCATAGATGTTGTCGTCCTTCCAGCCCATGCAAACTAGCTTGCCCCCCGCTGTCGCAACCCCCGCCTCCGTCCAGCTGTATCGGGACCCCTGACCTGGCATGGGGGGCACCACACGCACAAGGCCCCGTTCCAGCTCCACAGCACGCCAGCTGTGTCCCCCCGTAAACGGACTGATTTGGGCAGGCTTCACAAAGACCCAGTTCTCTAATGTGCCGACTTTGCTGCGCACGGGGGTGAGCAACTCAATCCGCTCCTGGGATCCAAAGAGCTTCCGCCATAAAGAGGACACCTGGCGTGCGGAGCGCCATTCACTGGTGGGCAGGCGGGCGAGGCACAGGAGGGCAACCTCGTCCAGTAGACCAGGGATAAGCCCCTCTGTGTCCTGGATCTCGCCAGTATTCTTATGCGGGGCTGTTATACTAGAACTGTGGGCAAAGCTGGTGCCAGCTGGCACTCGAGTATCCTGCACTTCTTCCGGGAAGGGGGCAAGCACGGTTGGAATCGAAAGGAGACTCGCGCCTCTAACTAGCTTTCTATGGGAGGAGCAGCCCCCTCCCGTCAGGAGCGTGGAGACGTCCGAGCCCATCTCAGCGCCAGGCAACAGAGAACCCATGATGACCACACTCGCCATGCCGGTTGTGCAATTTTGGGGGGGAGCAGCTTTGCTGGGTTGTCTACTGAGAGTGGATCCTGCAGAGAGACAGGATATGTGGCTGGGTGGAGTTGACGAGGCGCAACCCCAGTTTTGAGTGCCTCACCGAGTGTGATGGAACACTTGTATGTGTGATCTTGGTATCCATCATCCATCAACCGCCAGAGACCAAAATGATATGCAGTTCTGTGTGGAATGTCTGAGAAAGCTGTCACCTATGCTTCTCCAGGTGCTGTTTTAAGTTCAGTAGAAATTTTTCTGGGGAAGCCCATACGTTTCAGGTTAAGCTGGAAGTTCGACAGTGATGTTCTTGCGCCCAAGATCTTGAAATGCTGAGACCAAGTCGAGCATCACTGTGGGCCAAAGCTGCTGTAACCAGGTCAAATGCGGTGGGCCAAAAACAGCCCATCAAAAGTCTAACAACCAACAACCAATCAGCTGTCCATTGTCACAGAAACCCCTCTTCTCACCTCCTTTCTGCAAACCTAAGATCGCTCCTCGCTGCAGCAACCAGCTCCACGGGTGTTCGCTTGAAGAACGCCCTGTGCGCTTTTAACTCAGCAAGCGTCCGCCCAAAAAGCAGGAGGGGACAGAATCACATTGCGCTAGGGCTACCTAATTCCAATGCTGCCCCGCCCCAGCCTGCCCAGGCAGGGGCAGACGAATTCAGCTGTGGCCAAAGGCTCAGGCCCCAGAGTGTGTGTAATGGCCACCAAGCAAGTGACCGGGTGGCTCCTGGTCCATGCAGATTCGGTCGGGCCCTCTGCTGCGCACTGCCCCTGCACCATTACGATTTCGCAACCGGTTTCCGATGGCCGAACATGCAGAATCACTCGGGACTCAATGACAAAAGGCAGGCACATTGGCCTGTAACAAGTAGTAGGCACGTCGTGTAAAATGCACCTCAGAACCTTTTCACACTGAAGACGTCCAGACATCTGCGACGTAGGTACGTAAGTTTGCTAGTCTTACGATATGCGTCACTGATGATGTCACACAGGGTTAACCTCCTAACGCACACTAAAATCCTAAGGGTAAATATTGAGCAGTAACCCGGTTTTTGACAAATCCTAAGGCGTTCCGCCAGAGCGCACCCTTACCCACCCTAACCCCCCAGCTAACCCCACCAAGATCACAGGTTTGCCCTCATTGTACCGGAATTTGCCCCGAGCACTTCACCGCACCCGGTGAAACCTGGCGGTACAAACCATACCGACAGGTACCGTACCCCACCACTGGTATCGCTGATGTCACCGATGACGTAGTTTAGAAGACTAGCAAAGTTGCACCACC